CCAGTTAGGAGTTTATGAGCAGATCACCCCGTGAGGTTACTTTTCATAGAACCCCCCTTTTTTATTCACAAAATTCATTCTGATAAAGTTCTCACAATAGTGAATGGCCTCTGTGGCTGGGAATAAGTCACTCCCCTAATCAGGGACTGAGGTAGGATGTGTGCACAAGACTCTGTACCTAAGGCTTGTTAACTCATGCAGCCGCGTTGCCTGTTTGCTCTCATGCACAGAACTGATTGGTGACTAAATACAGTCATAGTGATGTGTATGAAGGAGAAGGTCGTACTAGGGAATGCTAACTTTATCATGCACCTGAGAGAGAACTTTCTTAGGACAGAAGATTGTTACAGAAGTTTCATTGGAATTGTTTGGAGTCTTTTGCCATCCAAGCTGGGGTCTCCTATCATAGCCCTGCATAGAAACATGTCCCTTGGAGACAGGACTGAGGAAGGATGGATCAGGCAGAGGTGTTTTCCCTGGTCACCTATCTGCTATTAATTCCCATCTTCATACCAACAAAGAGGTGGGTATAGGGGAACCGGTCATGCCAATCAGCAGGTGATACAAGTCATTTTGGATTAGATTTCAACAAGCACCCATGACAGTCTTCACCCCCGGAAGATGCATACAATTAATTTGGTTTCGTTTATAAAGACTATGAAGTCAGTTTATATTTCCGGAGACTGTTGGGGCCCTGCATGTTTTAGAACAGTCAGCAGAATAAGTGCTGAGCAAGGGCGAGAAGGGGGCTGGAGGTGGAAAGTTCACCTTGGAAAGCTGCCTAAGTACAAACTGATGCCTGGGTAATTGACCGTTATCAGGGTTTCATGATAAAATATTGTTTTCCTGCATTAAAGCATTAATGAGCCTCTGAAATGGAAGAAATCTGAGACATCATTTGTAACATTCATAACTTTAGACCCTTCTCTAGTGATTAGCAAGTGCAAGCACTCTTTTCTGCTCTTTACATAGAATTCATTCAATGCTCACTTCAAGCTCACGAAGTGAATATTATTATTATTGAACAAGATGACGTTAATATCCCCTTTGAGTTTAGTTTGGCTTCTTTCTGACTCGAGCCCCTTGACCTCCGTTTTCATAGAGCATTTACTTCAGAAAACTTGCCATTGTAAATTCTTCCTTGGCCCCCTTGATATGTAAGTCTCCCCTGAGACTCTTGCCAGTTTTACAACTCTAGGATATTTCTCTCAAAGACAGAGAGCCAGCTCTGTGAAACATAACCCTCGAAGATTAGCCAACTTCTCTGGGAGGCTAGGAACCTAACATCTGCACATGCCTAGTTCCCAAGTTGTAAAACTATCTCCTGTAGTAAAGTTATGAGAGAGATTTCCCCTCGGGATAAAGCCAATTAGCAAATACAGGTATGGCCTATGACCTCTCCTAAGGTCCTCAGTACTTTTCCATGATTTCACTCTAGCTCTTAAAAATTCTATCACCCTTGCTTCAGCAGAGATGGCTTCAGACTTAAGTCTGGCCTCTCTTCCCTACTGGGATGGCCGTGTAAAAATTCTTTCTAGTCTGCTTAACTTTGTTGCAAATTTTACTTTGACATTATCCACAGTTTATCGATTAAGCATCTGAGGCACAGAAAAATTGATCAACATGCTGAAGAGCACATGTTAGTGAGTGGGATTCTAGTCCCACCTCCTCGCTTTACTGACAAGTGGATACTGTCAGTCAGGGCTGTCTGTCTGTCTGAAATATTCCTGAATAAACATTACTGCGTTAAAAGCAGTTTCATGCTATTATTTTGTTTGATCCAACCTGATGTACTAGGCAGGACACATATTTTTGTATCTTTACTTTATGGTTGCAAATTTAGGAAGCTCAAACACCTTGCCTAAATCACACAGTTGGCTAGTGAATGATTGAGGCAAACATGTTTGTTTCCTCAAGGAAAGGGCCCCAAGGTTTGGAGTTCCATCCTCACTGAATTCTTGAGCTGTGAATGTAACTAGAACCAGGCACCAGGGAAGGGCTAAGTCCCACCAAACGCTGGAAGCCTAGCCCTCTCCCAGTCAGCTAATTACCTGTAATCCTTTCATCGGAGTTCCAATAGTCCCCCCAGCTCCCCTCTTCCACAACAGCCTCCTGAGGCCTTTCTGGAGTTCAGAAAAGCCATCTCCTAAAGCTTTCTCCACCCACATTGCTTGGCATGAACCAGCTCCCTGTAATGATCCTGCCTTCCCCCAGCCTCTTGGAATTCACCGAGGAACTCTGATTTATAGATGGACACCTGCCACTTCGCCCTGTGAGGCCACGACTATGAGCTCCAGCCGTTTCCTGCAGGTGTCCTCTCTCCCAAATTGGCTTCTCTTCCCTGAAATAGAGCTAGCTTCCCAAATAACCCAGGATGGCAATGGGGTGATGGGGTAGGTGGGAGTAGTCGTGGCAGAGATAAATCAGCTCCGAAAGGGTGTTGGTGCAGGACTGGGTGTGGAAATGCTTGACAACCAGAGAAAGGATCTAATAGAAAAAATTCCCCACTCAGGTCTGGGGACTTGACCTCCATCTAGCTCTAGCTGCTGGCATGTGATTTTGGTCACGTTCATTTCCTTTCTCTGGGCCTTTTTTTCCCTTTACAGTCAGACCACTGGGCTAGTCCTTTCAAGCTGTGATATTCCGGGATGTTCTGGCCTCGGTTTTCTCGGTAGGAATGAAGGGATTTACCCGTTCCCTGCTGGGCTCACAGGGAACTCGGTTGTCCCGATGGGAGGCGGCTTGTCTTGTAAAGAACAGAAGAGCCGGAATCTTGGAGCTTTAAGAGGACCGCAGTGGCTGTGCTGCGCTTCACTGATGGAGCGCCGCATTGCCAGGCATCTGATCTGTTTTTCTTAAACACTGCACGTTCTGCCACCCCTCCCCCACCCACGGGCCAGAGAGGCGGGCACTGCCCACCCCCTTGGGGACTGTTAACTGTTGTCGGGCTGCGACCTGCCCCGGAGCTCCGTCCCTCACGCCCCAGACAAGGCAGGGACAGTCTGTGCCTGGGAGGCTGGCAGAGGGGCCTGGCTCTCCTTGGGAAGGGAGGCTGAGCCCACGCACGTGTCGGTGAACCGGGCTGAGAAGCTTTTGTTCCAGGGCTAACAATAGAACCTTCCGCAAATGATTCTGATTCAGCGTCAGAGTTCAGAATCCGCCTGGGAGGGGCCGTGGAGGCTGCGTGCGTTGCTGTCTTTCCTCCTCCCTGGCAACGCCTGTGCGAATGCATCAGTTGCTCCTCCCGGGCTGTGCGCACCGAGGAAGGGAGCAAAGGAGGGCATCTGGACCATACCCCACCTCCGGAGTGCTGTTCCCACCTCCCGCCAGACGAGCCTCCAGTCATTCATTCCTGTATCTAACAGTAGTTTCTGGCCAAGCGGAATGTAGGGATCACCTCATTCCGCAGCCCCAACGGGTCTCCTCCACGAGATGGGATCAAATGTGCTGTGAGTCTCTTAGGCTCTTTGAATGACAAAAGTCACAGGTCCTCTGTTCCCTCTCATGAAAAATATGTCCTTAACCTTCTCCCAGCGTGACGAAATTTCGGACAGGCTTTTTCTAGACGCTAGCCCCTTAGCGTTTTTTAAGAGGATTTTATTATAAATCCTTTCGTTGTTCCTTCGAGGTGTAAATCTTCTCCCTGCATCGTTCTGGCTGGACCCGAGAACCCTGTCTCTACAATGTAAATATGAGGGAAGTTAGTGTCCTATCTCCCAGTTTCTACGGAAGGGTCGGAGCCTAACTTCAGTGCCCGCGTCGGGGAGACCCTGGCTCCAAGTTGTAAAACTACCTCCTCTTCTGAGGACACCAGAAAGTTTACTTTTCCCTTTGGGTAAGGCCAGTTGCTAAATACAGGTGTCTACGATTCCCCCAGCCCAGCTCTTAAAATCCTGCAGCCTATTGTTTTCACCCAGATTTCGTCTGAGCTGCCTCCCCTAATGCTGGTGATAGTATCAGAATAAAGTCTCTCTTTCTCAGCTCATGGTATCTGTTTTTTTTTTTTTAATTTAACATTCATCACGGTTACAATTTCCCTCGAATCCCTCTCTTCTAGTCTGCGCTGTTTTGCAACTTATTAAGTAACCAAGTAATACATTACTGGAAGAGTGTGTGTGTGTGTGTGCGCGCGTGCGCGCGCGCTGGAGGTGGGGGGGGGACCTCTCCCACTCTACTAAAATTTCCTTGGGAGAGCAATGTGCCTCTGAGATGTCTGTGCCACATACTGCCTCGTGGGGCACTGCAGGTGCTCAAGCCCTGGTTGCTTTCTTTCTTCCCACCCTCCCCTCCCTTTCTAAGACTCACAATACAGGGTATGGCACCCCTGCTGGCTCTGTCTCACATATGCCTCACACTAATTTTTAAGTTTTTCCACTTTCAAAATTGCTGTACTTCACCTGGTATCTTCGGTTGATCTGTCCATCTTTCATCTTGCTAATTAACTAATTTTATCTTGTTGATAATCCAATCTTTTGCTAAATAGTTCCACTGAGTTTAATAAATTGTATGTTTTAGCTCTAAAATGTTCATTAGTTATTTTCTGTCCTTTTCAGTTCTCTGATGAAATTGTCCAACTGTCTATTTTCTCTTTTTTCTTGTGCATTTTAACCATCATTTTTGTGTGCTCACTTCAAACTCAGGGTCACCTGGGTATCTGCTTCTATTATCCCTTTTTACTGTTGGTTTCATCCTATAGTCCCATCTATTGCTATTAATTATTTTTTTACTGAATGGCAGGAATTGTGAATGCAAGACATAGAGCCCCCAGCCTTTCTTATCTTCCTCATGTGAGTGGTCCCCCTTTCCTCTGCTAGGCAGGCAAAGTGAAGAGGTTGATTACCTGAAGCAAATCAGGACTATTCTAAATCAAGGCAGGTTTGCCTTTTTGAAAGTTTTAATGTACCTCTGGTTTGTCAGGAACTCAGTTTCAAGCCCTAATGGTTGATGAAACATTTTCCATCCAACACAAACCGTGACTTTTAGTTCTCTAAACACATGACAAGGTTTTGAAGTACTTTTATTTGTATTGTTTTCTGCCAGCAGAAAATAGTATAAATTTTTGGCAATGGCCAAGAAGAGGGACTCTGAATCCCACTCATCTCTTTTTCTATAAAGATACAAAGTATGGGATACAGGGAGAAACTGGTTTTACGGGAGAGGCTTCCAGAATGGAAGGCACTCTGGAACTTGATGGGGAGCACACAAGGATGAGTAGAGGCTCAGAGGAAATCAGTCCCACGCGTTGCACCGAGGTTTCAGAGCCTCACCGTGGGATTTGTCCTTCCTCATTTCACCTGAGCCCTATGAGAGCATTCCAGTAGCAACCCTTGTTTCTCAAACTTCATCATCTTTAAATCCTTTGAATGTCTTAGGCAGTGTCAAATCTTGGAAGAAACTTAAGTCTTTGCCCAGTTCACCACTGTACTCTATAGCACGTATTCCCATACGCACATAGTAGAGAAACCAATGCGCAGAGAAACAAAGGGACGCGCCTAAGGTCTTTCCCTGTGCATGCGGTTTGTGACAGCATCAGGACGTAGACTCCAAGTCTCTCAGCCTGGTCGTCTTTCCCGTGAACCACGCTGCCTTTCTCCTGCTGAGTTCAGGAGCTTGTAGGGCCTGCGAGGAAGAGCTGGATGTTGGAGGCAGTACGGCCTCCTGTGAGTAGGGGTGGGAATTAGGCTCTTCTATGAAGCCACTGCTGTCCGAACACGTGCTGTCGTGATGGTGGAGAGCGCCTGCCACAGGAAGGGAAAGGAAACAGGTCATGCATTTCGGAGACAGTTTTTGGGGATTGGCGTTGGTAGAAGCTTTCATAACCCACCTGTGGAAATATTTCTCAAAACAGCAGATATATATGCTTTTGGCACAGGGTTAGTTTTGCGTTTCTATTTACGGGGCTATTTTACTACCCTGTAGGGGGAGGGGTTACCTCGAAAATTTATGTTGGATAGAGATGCAAATAATTTCTTTCTAGTAGGATGAGTATTCCCAGAGATGAATTTATGGCATTGTCGGAAATGAACCAGTTTTGTAGGTAGCTGGGCAATTTATTAGTTTGTCTATTTATAACTAGTTTCTCAAATACTCTTTGGATCAGTTGAAACATATTAACTATTAACTTTATTAATTAATAAATAAAACCTTTGAACATGTTTATATTATATTTTCATGAGAGTCATTATTTTGATTTTAGAAAATTATACTTCAAAATATTTGCCTTCTAACTTGTTACTAGTGTATTCTGTTCTTATAAAAGGACATTAATATCCATTTAGTCACCCAAGGAAAAAAACCTGGAAATTTTCTTTCTTTTCTTCACCTCCCACCTTCTAAACATGAGTCTCTTGGTTCTAGATTTAGCCACTGTATATATTAAAAATCTCACAATTCCACTCTTCTTCCTGACTATTCCCAGTATCCTTATCTTATTTCTGGCCATCACATTTCTTTTTAACCTTCTGTGACAGACTCTTGAATGCTTCCCCCTCCTGCACTGGCTGCCTCACCTGCCTGTGGGTCACACCCCTGCCAGGGTGATCTAAAAGATAAATCTAATCAGATCATTTCTCCGTAAAATTTTAAGTGGCTCCCTATCTTCCCAGACTAAATCAAAATACTTAAAATTACACAGAAAACTTTGTTTCACAATTTTATTTCTATTGATCTTTCCTAGTCTTAATTTTGATCTTCTCTCACATATCACCTTTCTCCCACTAGGCACAGGAGCGGTTTCTAAAGATACGATTTTCCCACTCTGCCTGCCTTTGAACGTGTTATCTCTCTAACTAGGATATCGACGTCCTGCTTCTTCTACTTCCCTTCACTGCCTTTGCTCTTCTGTCCAGATTCACCTGGATATGCCATCTTCTGGGAAGTTCATTTTGATGTCCCCATGGCATCTAATGATATTAAATCAAAGTAATGGTTGAATTTTTGCCATGTCTTTCACTAAACTATGAGTTACAAGTGTTGTGTGAGGGTTCTTGTTTAATCTATATAATAACAACCCCTGTGAGTGTATAAGAAGGCGAGCGAAGCTCAGGGGTCAGGGCAACTCCATGCGCAGAAAGTGAGGCTCGCCCTGACCCCCGGCCACGGGCCGGGCTCCTGCACACTCAGGGAAGCCCGGCCTCATGAAAAGGGCCTGGGTTCTGATTCTGAGATTAACTGACTAGTTACACGATCTTGCTAAGTCATTTTCCTTCTCAAATAGTCTATATGATTATAAGACTTAACACGGGATAACATCTATGAAAGTGCTACATACTCACTAGAGGTACTTTCTACCTGTAGGTCTGGGTAAGGGAGTGTGGATGAATCAGGGCCTCTGCTCTGGCCGTCCCCGGGAGCAGTGCTTATACTGCTGTCCACGTGAGTGGTGACCGGCAGTTGCGTGGCCCGACAGCCAGCAGCCGTGGGTGTGGCCTTGGTGATCCATCGAAATGTTTGAAATCAATAACTCAGAAAATAAGCATTCTGTGATGCAGAGAGAGAGTAGCCTTCTGCTTTCCACAGTTTAAAGAATAGGAGCGTGCCGATAAAGGGAAGGCTAAATGGGAGGGTGGGTGGGGTGAGAAGATACACAGAGGTGAATCAGCAAATACAAATTAAAATGAAGCTTAATTATTCCTGTGGTGAAAGAGGCTTCATCCCTTCCCCCACCTTTTCTTAAAGTGGGTTTCTTTAGAAAACCTGGAAGTTCTTCAGTTGTATGCAAATCTTTTAAAAAGGCTCACTGAGCCTCTCACCACCTTTAGAGGCCAGAGGCGTCTTTCTCAAAGGAAGCTATGGCTCTGAAATGTAATCATCAAGGACCGTAGCACCCCTACAGCCCACTCTTCATGGGAAGGCAGGAGTCGGACTCAGGTGCCTGGTTCCAACTTACAAAACTATCTTCTGCCATAAATAGGATAAATTTTATTATTCCTTTAGATAAAGGCAATTAGTGAACACAGTCAGCCACCCCGCTTACCAGGTGAATCTAGGATGAACCATGTGTGGCAAATAGTGTTCTCACTTGCGGACTGGTTATCGTTTATTTTGACCTGTATGTAATGGGTTGTATTTGCTTGGCTGTATAAGACGTGAGATTTCTTTTTGTGTTTCCAGGCTTGTTCCTGGATTGCCTGGGATGCACATCATATTCTGGTTAAATGCTTAATTACAAATAAAACTGTTTTCTTTCTCTTACTCCTTTTTGGAGAGGCTTTCTGGTGTGGAAGATTTTGTTTTAAATTATATTTCCCCAGCAGGCACACAACAGCCCTGGTAAGAATTATAAATGAGGCAGAAAAATAACGGTCACATTCTTAACAATGTCCTCTCCCTTGCCCCTCTCCCTTTATCTAGTAGTTCCTCTTCAGAATTTATTTTGGTATAAAAATAACTGGTGCCATCATGTATAGAATGGGAAACAATAAAAACATACATCATTGGAGTAAATGATTTAATTCCCATAAAGTGCTAAGAATAGTAGTGTGTATAATGTAGTGAGCGCTGTACGTATTTGTTACTGTTAATATTATCATATGGAAAAACCTTACATGGAAGAGCGAGCCTGAAGCTATCCGACCCACAGGGGTTGCACCCAGTGCAAGCAGACAGCAGTGAGTCACCCCCTGTGGGGTGACATCACACTAGTTTCCTCCTTTGTCCTAAGCTCTGCACCAGCCTCCCCACCTGACCCTTCCTGTCTCTTCTCTCACTGCCACTGGAAGAGCTGACCATAAAACGAAACCTTCCATCTTCATATATGACCACTTCACAAACAGAATATCTGTTGGCCCCTGCTACCTCAGATCTGGTGAAAGAAACAAACAAAAAATAAATAAAAACCTCCTTGGCCCTGCCTTTTATAGATGTGGTAAATGTCAAGCAGTTTACATTCCAGCAACGGTGCACTGATAAAAGACTTTGAAGTTCTTGAGCACGGTGCATGGGATGAGGGATGATGAGGGTCATCACAGAACTTGGAGGAAGAGTAAGACTTCTTCTCTGGTAGAGACGACGTGATAGAGTGGAAGGGGAGAAGGCTGCTGGCTGGGGACCAGATCCCCTTTTAACAGAAAAGGTGTCCTTGTGCTGATCACAGAAAAGCATTTACTTTATGTAGTCGAATTAGAAGAAAAGAAGGAACTCTGTCTGAGAAGATGAAGACCCTTGAGATTTTTGAACCCAGGGTTACCTCTCTAAGGGGGTGTCTTTGTGCATTGTGAGGACTGTGCAGGCTGGACACAGCGGCTGCTCGGGTGTTGCTGCCACTTCTCACCTGTGCTCACGCCCCTCTGTGCCTGATAATCAGTAGTAGGTTGACTTCTGGGTCTTGATACAGAAATCCTGGGAGATAATTCACCCTTTGGAGATAATTACAGACCCTGGAAGGGGCAGATCGGAGCTGTTTTTCAGTAGGTCTGAGGGACTGCCCCACTGGTCTCTGCGTTCGATGGTGGTACGTGAATGCCCTTCTCTCCCATTTCTCTCACAATCTTTAATCTCAGCAGTACTGAGCTGTTTTCATGGCTGTTCCTTACTTCTTATGCACTCTTAAGGGATGACAAGGAGTGGACTGAGGGAGATAATTCCTGGCTTTGTGAGAAGATGATTAGACAAACTCACAGAGAATTGGAAAGATTTGGGAACCGCTGGGATCCCTGTTTCTGCTAAAGGCTGGCTGTGAAGAAGAGATCTCTCTTCTAGAGAGGCATGAAAGAAAAATGTACGGAATCGCTGGAGACACTCAGTGCATTTAATGTCTAAAGTTACAGTGTTTTATTGAATCTTATAAGCCTTCATTTGTAATACATAATTATTTCATATTCCACTTAGGAGGTCCAAAAATTAGACACTTAAATTGGCTGACAATGCCAATTATTAATAGGTATTCTATTTGAGAGATTAACATGTGGAAAAACCTATGCCATAGAATATGTGAAATACAGCATTTCTAACTGCTACCTCTCTTGCTGTAATGAAATCACATTGCCATGGCAGAAAATGAAATCTAGTAACTTATTTGAAATATATAACTCCTAGAAATACTTCTCCCCTGACTCTTCGCCCCAGCATAACCTTCTAGTTTGTGCACTGCCTGCCTGGGGGCACATCGTGGTATTTTTCTTGTGCAAGACTGACATCTGCTGGACAAATAACACTTGGGCAAAGCTTTGTACAGTAGTCCCCTGCTATCTGCGGTTTGGCTTTCTACCTGTTCAGTTACTCACGGTAACAGCAGTCCGAAATATTAAGTGAACAATTCAGGAAATAAACGATTCATAAGTTTTAAACTGTATGCTGTTCTGAATAGCATGCTGAACTCACTGTCCTGCCCCGTCCTGCCCTGGGTGTGGATCATCCCTCAGACCCCAGTCTCCGCACTTTAAAGGGTCCCCACCCATCAGTCACTCAGTCGCAGTCTCAGCTATCAGAGCGACTGTCAGGGAATCCCAGAGCTTGTCTTCAGGTCACCCTTACTTTACTTAAGAATGCTACATTCCCATAACTTTCATTACAGTATATTGTTATAATTGTTCTATTTTATTATCTGTTGTTGTTACCCTCTTACTGTGCCTGATTTGTAAATTACACTTTAATCATAGGTATGTATTACTGGGAAAGGAACAGTATGTATAGGGTTCGGTGCCAGCTGTGGGTTCAGGTGCCCCATGTGGGTCTTGGAACGTAGCCTATCCCCAGTGTGTGTGTGTGTGTGTGTGTTATTCTCCTATTTTGAAGGACAAAACTCAAGTGATTTCTGCAAGAACTAGTATGAGGTATGCCATTTGGTTCCATGTCTTAAACCTTTCCACTACACATAACATAAGGCTGCCTTCTGATATTTGCCCCTGTTGTGAGTAACGTATACGTACAGTCTGTGTACTTGGAGGAGAAGGTAATGGGTCAGAGAGAAAGAGGAGCCATTAAAGCCCTACAACCACAGAGAATTAGAATGAAAGAGTTAGAAGTGTAAAGATCTTTGTGACTTTGGACTAGTAACATTGAAACTGTGGAGTAGTGACCAAAAATCTATTGCGTTAGGAGGTGCAGTGACTAGTACTAAGACATGCAAAATGAAGGGAAATCTAAGCCAGATGAATCTTGACTCATTTACTTAATTCAAAAAAGGTTTCAATTTCTACTATCTTGAAAAAATCATTATCCCTGTGCCATCTTCTCAGTGCTCCCAGGACACAGGTAATAAAAACTACAGGAGATTAATTTTCACTTAGTTTGAATAATAAATCTTTAGCCAAAATGTTCAAAGGCATGGGGGATAATTCTGAAAGAGTTGATATGCAAAACTCACATTGAGAGGAAAGACATGCAGCAGCATTAACCACCCCCGTGCGGTTCGTTGTTTTTGAGGAGGGAAGGGGAGCTACGTACACTAAACCCTCATCGCAGAAAGGAACTCAGAGCCTAAATAGACAAAGTGATGAGATACACTGAGGAGTCTCCCCTAAGTCCTACGACGTGAGCTGATTAGAAAGTAGCACAAAAAGTAAGTGCTGGCCTATAAATCTCCCTACCTATTACAAAACTTCTATAATAATGCTTCTCAAACTTCGATGTGTAAAAGAAATCACTAAGAATCTTGATACAATGGTGATTCATCAGGTCTGGGGTAGGGGCTGGGGTCCCCAGTTTCTAACAAAATCCCAAGTGACGTTAATGTTGCTGGCCTGCGGGACACATTTTGAATATTAAGGTCATACAGAGTTTCCCCTGGAACAGCAGTTCTCAGACTGTGAGTCAGCCCAGCAGCCTCAGCACTACCTGGGAACTTGCTAGAAATGCAGGCCCGAACCCCTATTTAATTAGAAACTCTGGGAGTTGGGGCCCAGCCAGCTATAGTTTAACAAGTTCTCCAAATGATTCTGATGCTAACATCTGAGAACCACTGCTTTAGAGAAGTATTTATCCAGCCATAACAGAGTTACTCTAGGAGCTTAAAAACAAGACATCAGCCACTGGTTTTCATGCCAACTCAATTAAATTGGAATTTTAGGATGCAGGACCCTTGATTGTGAGTATTTAAAAAAAAATTCCCAGGTGATTATAATATGCAGATGGGTGTGAGAACTATTGCCAGAGAACGAGGGAGAGAGAGAGAGACTTACTTTTTGAGTCTTTGTCAGCAAAAGTCTGGTAAAGGTGAGGGAATCTGGGTCTGCTGGCCCGGTGGGTCTCCTCCTCCTCCTTACTGTTGCTTTGCACCTGTAACCAAGATCCAAGCAGAACCAGTCAGAGCAAGTGGTGGGGAAAGGGGCAGGGTGGCAGGCAGCTGTGGGGGAGGGAGGCTGAGTGTACTTGAGGGTCTTCTCCTGTGGCAGGAACCCAGCAGTGAGAAAGGCAGGAAGGAACTGAGGTGCAGCTCTACATTCAGTGAGAGATGACACAGGTGCAAATGATATTTTGAATCCTAACAGCTTCTGTTTGTGGCAAAGACTTGAGAGCTTTTCCAAGTCACCCTTGCACTTGGTGGCAGTACTATAGACCCAGGCAAGAGGAGTCCTGAGTTTTTCAGAGTCCATGGGATAAAGAATTAGTGGACCTAGGGGGGATGTGCTCACCTGGATCTTATGCTATCCCTTCTGGACTGTGCTCTGGTCACCCAGGATCCCAAATGTGCTGCTCTTATGGCTCCAAGCCTGCTTCAGTGAACTGCACTGGTTTTGCCTGGTATCTATTCTCTCAATGGCCATCTTCTCTACTAGTATATGCACTCTTGGGCCTGAGTGATGACCAATGAATGGCCATTTGTGTGGTAGGAGCATGAGGCATTTGGATATGCAGGCTGGGCTGTTCACACACTTGTGTAGGAAATCCCTGATGGTTCAGGACAGATCTTGGCATGAGAAGAGAAGGAGACAGGCCAGGGGCTGGGGACTGGCTCTGTCCAGGCCATGTTCTAGTGCACAAGTCCTAAGAACCTTCTAGTTTTGAACCTGGACTTGCAGGTCGTTATGGTTACATATTTGTCAAGGTAGAAGGGAAACTACTTTGTTTACAATAATAGTGTTCAGCTTATTGTATAGCTGACCTCTACTCTTGTGTGGATCCCACAAATGACAGGGGTAGGGGTACTTGATGAGAAACTTCAAGAAGATCAGATCAGATGAGGAGTTAGAAAAGCAGTTTTGGAAACCTAGATGCTTTTAAGAAGCCAGACCTATTTCTTTTTCTCCTTTTATATTAACCCACTCCCAAAGGTTTCTGAATACATTTCAAAAATTGGTACATCTGATGAGGACAGAGAGTCAGGATTCCCTTTATCCAAGGGCAAACGTTTAGAACCTTTCTCTGCCAGTCTCTCCCTCACCTCCACCCCACTCACCTCCTCCAAGTCAAAAGTGTCCCACAGCTGCTCGGTCAGAGACTGGCGCAGTTCTGGTCTCACTTGGTTTTGCTTCCATTTCTGCTGGACGATGGACAGGTCCAATGATTTGACCTTCCTGCCTGTGGGATTCTTCTGAAACAGGCTCTTTCTCGCTCTGCTCTTCCCTTTCCAGAAAGTCTCATCCTTGGCCAAGTGGGCTTCTTTATTGGTGGCCTGCAGACCCCACAGCTCTCTCTTGACCTGTGCAGGGTCTGTGCTCCACTGCACATCTGCTCTGGGTAACGAATGTGTGCAACAGGGTGTCTCGGGGTTAGAATGCAGAGTTTGTGATGGTGTGTGCACTGTGGACATCCCCTGCTGCGTCTCCCCTTTAGGGCAGCAGACACACGGACAAGAAGTAGGCAGCACTGTACCACTGATGCGGGACGCAGGACCTTCCTGTGAGCCTGGCTCAAACTCAGAGTCTTGCTGGAGAACCAGCTTGTCTCCTCTCACTCTGTCCATCACTTCCCACACCACTTGGTCCAAACTGTTCCTTAGGGGGGTGTTGTGGGGTGGGGATAGCCGAACCCGGGGGCATGTGTATAGGCACATTTTGGAGATGGCTTTCCGCAGGCGCTCTCTGGGTGAGTGAGGTTCAGATTCTGGAGCTAGAATCTTGATGGATGGCACATCAGTTGGGTCACAATTCCAGAACATGTGGGATGGTGTGAACTTCTGGACAGGCGTCTTAGACACATAGGAGTAGAGACAGAAGAAGGCATCGGCGGTGACAGCCAGTGTTTGCACCTGCTTAAACCTGCCTGGGTATAAGGGTTGAAGGTGGTGAGTCTGGTGGCTAATCAGCCACCAGAATTTCTCCTTTTGATAGCTTTCCTAAACTTAAAATAAGAAGGAAGGTGCCAATTTTCCCATTTAGATTTCTGACACCCAGGATCCCCTTCCTTGACTTTCTTGATTTCTGTTTTAATTTTTATTACATTTATTGGGGTAACATTGGTTAATAAAATTACATAGGTTTCAGGTGTACAGTTCTGTTATACACCATCTATATATTGTACTGTGTATTCACCACCCAGAGTTAAGTGTCCTTCCACTTTCTTGATTTCTTGACCCCCCCATCCCAAGTAGGTATTTTATTTTATCCAGAAATCAATTCTATACAGATTGGAAACATTTCCCTATTCTGAGTTAGCATATCTTTTTGCTGTCAGTATATTCTAAGCAATGGCCTCCATCACTGTGTTTGCTTTAGATGACAAACATGATAAAAAACAACACAACATTACTTTCTTAGTGAAAAAACTTTAGGGTTATAGAAGGCTTCTTGATAGCAACAAATTAAAGGGATAGGGATGACTAGGCAATGGACTGGATTAGAGAAATTTAGATGGAGTCCATCCTTTCTCTTAGACCTTTGCTTCTCAAAGTGTGGTCAGCAGTGCAGTGGCATCAGCCTGGCGTGGTACCTTGTTATGACTGCAGAATCTCAGACTGTACCTCAAACATTTTAGCGACATCTTTGGGTAATTCATGTGCACATCCCTGTTTGAAAAGTGGTGTGATCAACCGTATATCTATTAAATTGTAACCTTCCTGAAGGCAAGAATCATATACCTCTTGTCTAGCTATTGTTATTACAGAATGTAACACCTGATTATGTAGCTGGCACATACAATGAATGCAACAAATTATCCTCAAGCGAGTGCGACAAGAATCACCTAAGAGGTGAATAAACTCCAACTCAAAATCCTTGTTTCAGCAGGTGGTGCTCAGGAGGCTGGCTTCACCAAGGTTTTAAGCTGAATCTGACACAAACATCATTATGTATCAGATGTAGTAGAATAAAATTTGAGATGTATTCTAACATATAGAATCAAATAGAGTCTTTTATACCTCACCAAGGTAGAGAAGCCCTCTCACATCTTTCCTTAGTATTAAATCAGTACTACTGAAATTATTGTTGCCCTAGATGTGGTCTAAGGATTATGCATAAGAATCATCTGTGTGCTTGTTTAAACCTAAACTGATATCCCTGAGCCCCTCTGTTTCTGGGGGAAAAACCTATAAATATGAATGCTTTGTAAACTCCTTGAGCAATTTAACATCGAAACTTGAGAACCACTGTCTTAAATGGAAATGATTTTAATGCAATGGCTATAAATAGGAGCATTCAATAATCCCAACTGAGAAGTAAAAAAATGGGATGAGATATAAAGATGTTATTCTGCATTGAGATGACCTATAAAAAGCAATGGTGATATGTGGTCTCTTGAAGAGTATTTCAAAGGACAGAAGCAGATGTCAAAGTTCATCTTCACTGAAGACAACATAAGAGAAAATAGACACAAGAGACAAAGGATCAAGTGAAGCCAATCAAAAGAAAGTAGGATTTGGATCCATTGATCATCATGTGGAGTCTCGGGGAGGAGCAGAGCATGGATCTGTGGGAACACTCACTGGCCAGCATGAGGCAAGGGTCCTCCATCTCGATCCTCCGCACTTGGGCCTTCAGGAAGAGCTGGAAATCAATGCCTCTGGCCTGGGAGGGGTTGGTGAAAAATCGGGCAGGAATCCGAGAAGTGTCTTTGTGGTCCTCTTGGCCAAAGCCCAGACTGAAGAGGACATCTTCTGCATCTTCTTGCACCTTGTCCAGAATCTCAGAGATGCTAACAAGAGGGAGATGGGGTAAGAAGGGGCAATTTTGAGGCACAGGGTAACCCAGAGTGTCTTTGACTTTGAGAAAAGCTTTCATTTTTCTGAACCTAAATTCTCTGTCTGAAACAAGAAAATGACAATGTAGCTCTGGTTTAAAAATTGAATGAGATTCTGTCATAGTACTTTGAATAACTGATTACAGGTGAATGAACTTTACTATGAGAGGATTTGCACAATCAAAAGCAGTACAGATGCAAAGAAACCTATAGTTGTATTATTAACCAGGCAGTTCCTGCTTGCGTGTCTGCACTATGACACAGCTGGCTTCTGCCAAGTGCTTTGCATCTTGCTATGCAGTTTGACCTAACGGTTGTGTGGGACAACCAGAGAATGCATGTGTAGGGAACATAAAACTCATTTTATTCTCACTTTCAGGGTAAAAAAATTTCAATATGGTAGGTCCTCACTTAACATTGTTAATAGATTCTGTGACTTTAAGCAAAACAATATATAATGAAATCAGATTTTACCATAGGCTAAATTGTTAGAAATAACTGTTAAGTTCCTATGGCATCTCATCAATGTTGTAACAAAATGGCATTGAATGGAACAGCATTATTTGAGAACCTGCTGTGTAAGTATGTTCAAAACCTGACTTTGAGAGGTAGACCCCTTTGTAGCACCATCTCAGTACAGAAGCCCTCTCTCTTTGTGGCACCAGCATGTAGCTACATCTGGGTCTGTATTCCACCAGGCTGGGAGACACAGAGCTCAATAACTACGCATCCCAAACAACAACAGGGGCTGTGGATTACTTGAAAATTTGAATAATCACTGTCACTTTCTTCAGAAAAGATGTTAGGCTTTTGATTCAAATAGGTACCATCTTGTTTAATTAATAGCTGGATAATTAACTGGAATCCCTGGCTCTATTTTGATGTTTGTTACCTAAGTGCTGATTGTATTTCCATGGTCCTAGTTTTCCTTATATGAATTGTGGGTCTAAATCTGGATCACTGGTTCTCAGTCATGGGCGCATATTAGAAGTGATATGGGAAACTTTGAAAAACCTCTGTTTAACCTTTATTTGCCCAGACCCCAGGCGCCATAGGAGAACAATAAGGCCGTCTAGGAAGAGCAGATAAAGCAGATAGCCGGATAGTCACTAGGACTAGGGCTAGCACCCTTGCAGATAGAACCAATTTTCACATTTAGCCTTTGAACTCTGCTTCTGCCCCGAAGATAGAACTAATTACCGCATTCTGCTTCTGTATCCTGCTTTGCCACGTAGATAGGAAGACCCCTAATCTATATATTCCCCAAGAATCTTTTGTTTGGGGCTCAGAATTTGGAGACTGACTCCTCTGGGCCCGTGCACGTAAAAGGAATAAACCTCATACTCCAGAATCCCTCGGTGTCTGGTCGCTTCATTTCCCGTAACAGAATCGCTTTGGGAGGGCACTTTACAAAATGCAGACCTCTGAGTCTTATCTCAAGAGATGCTGGTTTAATTGATTGGAATGGATTGGCTAGGCTTGGGGCTCTGTAGAAACAAGTCACTAAAGATAGTTATGTGGCTAATAAGTCTCAGAAGCAGATCTCAAATTCAAACTTTGACTTGAAATTCAAGGCACTTTTAATCACACCACACTAGTTTTCATGGCTTTCCATCTTGTTTTAACATCATTTGCATGTTATTTTGTTCACCCTATTGAGTTGTTAAACTCCTGGGGCAACTTCATCTTCTTCATCTTTTCAAATTCTGTACAGTCATTCCCTGGCCTGAGCTCAGGAATTCAAAATTGCCTGAATGAATCAATATTTTATTGCTTCATTTAACCAACAAATCAATTAATCAATCCCTGTATGGGCTGTTTATGAACACTCAGTAAAGTCCAGGAGCTGTGATGGTACCAGTGCTGTATCTCCTGGTCTACAAAGTTCAGTGGAAAGAACCGAACTATTTTGCATGTAGCATCTAGCTCTGAGCAGTAGAGTCCTCTGTGTTCCCCACTATTCTTGAAGCAAGTATGCCATATTTTTCAAGTATGTGGCTGCATAAAATCTTCAGTGAGATATCCCAGGAAAACTGGGCAGTGGATTATCAGTTCTATTCTCTTCATCTTCCCCATTCTTCTACCCCTGCCAAACTTGGTACATACCTTGAACTAGTCTTGTTGGTCCCACCAGTCATGCTGCTGGAAGCCAAACTGCAGCCAAGATCTAGTAGCTGGCAGGGCCGGGCTGTCTCTAGGAAATGCCTGCAGGGATCAGAGATGATGTCAGACTAATCCTGTAAGCAGTCTGCACCCAAGCTCCAAGACATGCCTGCTGGGCATCGTCACTCCCTGTGAAAATCCAGTCTATGACTTCATTCTTAGTGGCAAAATCTCACCCTCCTGTGAATTTTCAGCTCTTTGTTTTTCACTTCTTTGACTCTGACACTTACCCTAGTTCATAGCTCCTGAAGGAGAGACCCTTTATCCCAGCTGAACCTTACACTTACCTGGAGAAGAGTTTGCCATTGGCGGCCAACAATGTGGCTGGACAAGGAACAGAAAGACAAAGAGAAAGTTATAAGGAAAAATAAAAATCACCTAAACTGCCCTGCCCTCTGAACTAAAAACTCAGCCCCCTCCGTTCCTCTCTGCAACTACTGTAGGATCACTGAACCAAATTCAGTGACCTAAAGGGGGTATCTAAAGGTTCTCAAACACAGATCTGAAAGGGGGACAGACATGGTGGAGAACAATGGACCCCAAGCCTCTGAACTTCTGGACCATGACTGATTTCTAGGCAAGAATTCCTCTGTCCTGAGAAGGATAGAGTCATTCAGCCCTCCAGGCCAGACTCCCTATCCTACTATAGGAGTCTCTACAGGTCCCAGGAGACACTAATAGGTTGTTATAACTCCATCTTTTACTCAAACCCTTATTTTTCTGCAACGTAGTCTCTCTCATGCGCACTACTGAGAGAGACTGCATTGGGTTTCCTACACAGAAAACCATTTTGAAGATGTCTGAGCAGCCAATGTTACTGTGATATTGTATGTTATATTCCCAGGGTCCAAAGGAAAGCTCCAGTGGTGGACCAGTAGACATCCTGACAGGCTGGTGCAGAAGTATTTCTGGGCAGATGATGCTTTCTGAGTTTCACATTAGATCCTATTGAGACTATTCTTTCCCTGTGGATAAAACCCAGGGATGCCTTTTCTGCAGTTATCCCCTTTCATTCTACCCTTATTAATCCAATATACAGTTTCTTACTCAATCTCAACCTCACAGAGCTGTGCCACTTACCCTCTGCTCCAAGGGTCAAGTCATCTTCAAAGCTGGTTCCATGGCTGGGACACCCTGTCAAATAATGAGGCAAAGGTCACAGAAAATCAGGCTTGGACACACACACACACACACACACACACACACACACACACACACAACCACATAGTCACATCAGACATCCACGTGTTTGCAAACCTACCCCCAGCTGTATGTACATATACTACCTCAGGAATCACACTCATATTTTGACTCAGAAAGAATCACACGCACACTCATCTATAATTAACCTGTCCCCTACACCACATAGTCATGCACACAATCTTCTGCCAAATAGCATGTGGGGGTGCACACACATAAATACACATTTTATAAAGCTCTTTTTCTGTAGCAGTGATTGTTAGCTGAGTAACCACTAATGGAAGATAACCTTTGAGTACTGTTGAGCCAGTGGGCTCTATGCCAATGCTCACTTTATCTTCTGGACCTTTCCAACTGCTTGTGATCACTGATAGGCGTTTTGCAGATAGTTATGAGAGTCAGCCTTCTGGTGGATGCACATGCCCATGCATATACACACACACTCACACACACACAGCCACATCACCAGGTAGATGAACAATAGAAGGAAGAACAGACCCTATACTCACCATTATAGATTGACTGTCCTGCTTCCTCAAAAAACCCTTCTTCAGAGTATCTAAAAACCAAACATAAACTTATAGGTCCAAATCACCACATTTTCCAAGGGGGCTTTCCTCAAATATGTCCCACAGGTTCATGTAATTTTTTAATGAGAGTCAGCAGTATTTAAGCTGATTTTATGTTGAAGAAAGCAAGACAGGGTGGTTATTTGACTGACAAGTTCATGGAGGTAGTCAGGGAAGATGGAATTGGAGGGCTGTTGTTGCACTGACCACATTGTCTAAAGTTAGCTTAGCAATAATTCTCTAGGTGAGTTCCTAGGTAGAATAGACAGTAAAGAGTATAGGAGCAAAACTGGAGAGACATACATTTATAGAAGCAGGGCTTTGGGTGTATAATTTTCACATTACAAAAGCAAATATAGAAAAAAAAACTTTTAGTAGGCCATCTTTTCTATCCAGACCCCTTTTCTTGTCTCTGAGCCATAGTCTTGCAGAACATCATATCTCTCAGGAAGCAGCAGAAACTGCATCTTGGTTAGAGATTATATTTTTACATTTTGAGATATGGGCTTATCAAACATTTACCATCTCCAGAAGAAAAACAGATGGAAACCAGCATAATTGGTAGTGAGAAACAGCTCAGTTTTATAAACAAGGAAGAAATTCTCTAAAACAGATGAGTGAAATAATCTGTGACAAAGCTTTGGATGGGGACCAGAGCACCTGGAGTCTAGTCCTGGCTCCTTGCTACTGCTATGTTCTCAAATATGACGTAGGGGATCAGATGACTAGTTATTATTGTTAGTTAAGTCTACCTCAAACACTGATGTGTTGTGAGTTGCATAGAGTTTGCTTCCTGAGGGTTTGAAAAATGGAAGTTGCACATGATGCTTTGAATGTAGTCTCCTGTGGAGGCTGGAGCAGAGACTTGTTGAGTGAGTTATCAGGGAGGGACTGGAGTGCGTCTGTTCCACTGGAGTGGTCTGAAATGAGCCTCCTCCTTTTTCAGTCTCCAGCAATGCAAAGAAATCTCAAGCTATTGAAGCATCATTCCATGAAATGTTTAATAATGGCAATGGGCTTCCTAATTGAACATCTGTAGATTAGTTGTGCTTAAATTTTACAAAATAAGCCTTGTATATTGTATACTGACATTTTTTTACCAGCACTTTGCTTTTAATGTTAAAAAAAATCCCTGTTTTCCAAATTCTGTATTTTTATATGTCTTATGAAAAAACTGGACATCAAGGTATGATATAAAATGTGAAATCAAACAAGACAAGTAATAATGAGTGTTGGAGAGGTTGTGGAGAAAAGGGAACCCTCATTCACTGCTGGTGGGAAGGAAGACTGGGACAGCCACTATGGAAAATGGTCTGGCAGTTCCTCAAAAAATTAAGAATGGAGTTACCACATGACCAACAATCCCTCTCCTGAGTACCTATCTGAAAAACTTGAAAACATGTACTAGCAAAGACATCTGAACCCCTATGTTCATTGCAGCACTATTCACGGTGGCCAAGACATGGAGAAAACTGAAGTGTTCTTCCGAAGAGGACTGGATTAAGAGGATGTGGTGAATATGTACAATACTCCTCAGCCACAAGGAAAGGCAAAATACTGCCATCTGTGACAACATGGATGGACCTTGAGAATATTATGCTGAGTGAAATAAGTCAGTCAGAAGAAGCTAAGAATAATATGATTGTACTCACGCGTGGGATGTACAATAAAACGGAAACTCATGGACACAGACAGCAGTGCAGTGGTTACCAGAGGGAAGGGAGTTGGGGGTTGATGGGTGGAGGGGGCCTAATATGTGGTGACAGTAGATGGTTTGACTTTGGGTAGTGGGTATACAGTGTGATATACAGATCCTGTCTCATACAAATGTACACTTGAAGCCTAGACAATCCTATTAACCAATGCCACTCCAATAAAGTTAAAAAATGTGAAATTATATTCCCAAGCTAATTAAGAACCAGTAACTTTAATACTACAACTTGAACTACAAATATATACTTTTCTTTCTAGTATATAACATTATACATAAACCATAATTTTATTATACATATAACATTATTAAATAAATATATTTAATATAATACTATAGATATGTTAAATATATATTACAAATATTAATATAAATTAATATTTACTATTACTGTTAAAACACTGGTAACAAATATAATCAACTACTAAATATTGACATTTACAACTGCATTTAATGCTTGTGCTGTAGCTACATAGTAATACAGCTACTAAAGCCAACTATTATCATAACTACAATAAAAACACACTACTACTGTGTTTCTGGGTGTGTGTTCAGTGGATAGTCACCCATTTATAGTCACCAAAAGAAGTGATTTTCAGAATAATCCACAACTGGAAGACCCAAATCTCTCATTATTGTAAAGTGGATAAACTGTAGGATGAATATACAATTTAATGCTACATAATAAAATCTATGACCAGTTGCTGCTTGTAAAACACGAACATCACAAACATAATGCTGAATGAAAGAAACACATGAAACAGTTCATGTTGTATGATTCTACCTACATAAAGTTAAAAAACTGGAAAACTCATCTATGAGGTTATAAGTCAGGTTACTGGTTACCTTGGGAGCTGGGTGATGAGTGAGGGGGACAGACAGGAGTTTCTGGAGTGTGAATGATGTTCCTGTAGGTCTTATAGATGAGTGCCCTCTGAGAAAATTCCTTAAGGTATGTATTTAATACTTGTTTATTTTTCAGTAAATACTTTATACTTCAATACAATTTATATTATTGTTATTTTGGCAGCTTTATTGAGGTATAATTGATATATTATTGGGTTGGCCAAAATATCCATATGGTATTTTTCCATAAAATAAAATACACATTTTTCATTTTCACCAATAATTTTATTCATTTGGTGAGACATTCAATTAATGTCTCAGTTTGATTGCTATCAAGTTCGACTGGTCTACCCAACTATGGAGCATTGTCCAGTGAGAAATCACCAGCACAAAACTTCACAAACCACTTTTGACATGTTTGATCAGTCACAGAACCTTCTGCACACTGAACAAATCTTTAGTTGTGTTTTTACCTTTCTTGAAACAATAAAGTATAATATGCCAAAAATATTGCATATTTTCTTCCATCTTCAACATTAAAATGGCTACACAAATAATTACCAATTTTGATGTTTTTAAAAATGCATGATGATATGACAGCTGTGACAATACAATCTAACAAAAACGGTTTCAAATGAAATTAAAGACAACCAAGTGCTACCAGAGCCATCTTTCATAAAGAACCAAGTGAACTTTTTGGCCAACCCAATACAAAGAACTGCACATATTTCATGTGTACAATGTGATGAATTTGGATATGTGCAGACACCCGTGATACTGTGACCAATCGAGCTAATAGACACACCCAACAACTCCCAGTTTCCTTTTTCCCCTTTGTGTCTTTTTGAAGTAAGGACACTTAACATGAGATCCACCCTCTTAACAAATTTTAAAGTATACAATAGCACATTGTTAGCCATAAGCACTATACTGTACAGTAGATACCTAGAACTTATCTAGCACAACCAAAATGTACACCTGCTGAGTTCTACCACAATTTATGTTAAAAAAGAAATGCTACTAATATTTATGCTCTGCTTCAATAAAATTTACATTAAAAATACCACTGATAACCCTGGCTGGTGTAGCTCAGTGATTGAGCACTGGATTAATCCTCTGGATTGTGAACCAGAGGATCACGGTTTGATTCCTAGTCAGGGCACATGCCTGAGTTGCGGGCCAGTTCCTGGTGGGGGACCCACAAGAGGCAACCACACATTGATATATCTCTCCCTCTCTCTTTCCCTTCCCCTCTAAAGATAGATAAATAAAATCTTTAAAAAATACCACTGATAAAATTCCTAGTCTGGCCAAAGGCAAACTTGCTATTATTCATTAGACACAAGTTTTTGTGGAGTGTTCACCCTGTATTTCTCTCTCTAGTTGTACCCTGGCAGGCATGTCCTTATGTTCCATATGAGGACCAGCCCAGGAAGACACTGGGGCAGTAGGCTTCTCTCTGTGCATGTGGGATCTACCACAGTCATATGGATGTGGGCCTGGATTTACTGGTGCCTTTTTACTGAGTGTGTTGGTTTGAAACTTCATGTCTACCACCCAAGTCGCAGGCCTTTCATGGGTTGTCACTGAAGATGTAATGTCAATGACTGAGGACTAGATCCACAGCTGCACCTCTCTCTCCACCTGTTCACTGAAAGGTCACTTAGCATGATTTTAAGTCTGAAGTACAAGAGCCAAGGTGCCATTCTCCTGTACACTCAATTCATAAAGAAAGAGTAGGGAGGTGGATTGGATTATGAGAAGAAGCATGTGACTATTTTTAGCTACTTCCAGCAACTTCCATAGGCTCTGTTTGCAGAGATTTTAAACTGACATCCACACAGATGGATTTGGGCTCCTGACCCTACCTCCGATGATTCACAAGCAACATATTCATGTCTCAGAAAATCCCCTGAGGGCTTAAGAAGGGAAAGAAAAAGGAGAGGTATAGTTTGTAAAGACGCACATGATCTAAACCTGTAGCGGAAGGGTCTGCTACTAGATTCAATTTCCCCGAGAAACACTGACACTAAATTACCAAGGAACTTTCTTGGAAAGCTTGTCATAAAACAAAGCCCCTTTGCTACCAGAGGGTGTTTGGCATTGGAAAGAAAATGGTAACTACACGGTCTTGAAATAAAATTTGAAAGGTGCCTCCCAGGGCGCCTCCCAACAGAGTGGGCAATCGGTGAATGTGGGTTTCTTGTCTGTCTTCTTTCCACTGTGGTCTTTGCAGCTTAAGAATCAAAGATGGTAGTAACATAGAAGGTCATATTTGGAGTACATTTCATCTAAATCTACCTCAAAGTATTTTCTCACTATCATCAATCATCATTTTTATTTTTTTTATTTTCCCATATAGTTAAAAAGTATTACATACTCTTTGGGAAGATTAGAAAATAGAGAAAATTAGAAATATTTTATGAACTTACTAGGTCCCCTTCCAAAGGCAAATGTAAGTATGCTAATAGGTTGATTTCCTGGGGGCCTTTTTGAAGTTTAAATATTGAATTTTTCAACAATTAGAAAAGTAAAGCATTTTTGACAGATACTCTTTCACCTGTCACCCTATTTTCACAGATGTAAACATTTTGTCATATTTGCTTCAGATAAAAATAAAAATGAATAAAATGTTAATGATATAACTGGTGTCTCATTTTACTCCCATTCTCCCTCCTTTCTTCTTTTCTACAGATAACCATCATCCCGGAGGTGGTGTGCATTACTTCCGGACGTATTTTTTGATAAAGCGATAGAAGACAGACTGGCAGATAGATAGACAGATGATAGACTTGTTTTGTGAAGTTTTAAAGTAGCAGAAAGCCCCTACTTTATAGGCCTTACCACTCACATATTACTACAGAGCATTACAGCACTTGTACATACACCATAACATTAAATCTTTGAAAACTTTTGACACTATTATTCTAGTTCTCCACTTTATAGGTGAGAAATCTGAAATAGAATTTCACCTGTTGACTTACAGTTTACACAGATAGATAGCAAAAGAATTAGACTCAAATCTTGGACTCTTTATTTACCAGTATGCATTTTCAACATATATTTTGTATCAGGGTTTATTTTTGTGAAAAAGAGGTGGGGAAAGGTGATCTCTGAAGTTTGTGATCTCGTAGTGAATTTATTCTTTTCAACTAGAATGTAGTATGTCTAAAGTTAAGCAGCATATTTAAAACTATTTAGCACCTATCTAGACTATTTAGACAATCAGACAGTTAGCAAATGCACAGTTAGTAATTGTTGATGTAAATTGATTAAGACTCAAGAAAAGTTAGTGAGATAAAGACATTAACTGAGACAACTTGTTCTCTTGAACAAATCTGGTGAAGCATTTTATTTTATTTTTATAATTTTTTAATTTTAATTTTTTACTGAATTTATTGGGGTCACATTGGTTAATAAAATTATATAGATTTTAGGTATACAATTCTATAAAATGTCATCTGTATATTGTATTGTGTGTCCACCATCCCAAGTCAAGTCTTCTATTACCATTTATCGCCCCTGCATCTCTTCTTCCTCCTCCCACCCCTCCCCCCTTTCCTCTGTCAGTGGTGAAGGATTTAAAAATCTCAGAACAGTTTTCACACACCAAAACTTGCAAATGTCCCTATTCCTACATTACTTTACTTCTCTATATTTCGATTACCCTTAACTGACTTTGAAGTCATTGAATTGTGAAACAGATTAGGACTATAAAGACAACATGTTTTGTAAACAACAAAAACACCAAATAAATCCCTCCTGGCATTACCTTCTGGGTCACAGTTGAACTAAATAATGTTGGATTATTCAGTGCTATTTATTTCCTACCAAATAAGCAAGGGTGGGTTCATGTATATGTTAATAGATGAGTTTAGATGAAAGGCTATATAAAGACTGGACCATTCCTGGAGGGGAAGTAAAGAGCAGGCAGGAGTTATAACTTCTGAGAATTCACTATCACACGAATGATCAGGCTTAAATAGGTCACAGGAGCCTTCTCTCTGTGTCTGAGTAGACTGACTCTAAAACGGTATAGGCTGTGGGGTGTATGGTCTCATATTTTAAATGTTTCTGAGGAAAGATACTACATTTTGCCCTGAAGTATCTGCTGAAATTCTTCACTACTTGGAATGTTTGGAGTAAACTCTTAGCCCCTTTGTCCTGTGTTCTGCAGTAGAAGTAAACAACATAGTGACAAATTATTCTGATCAGAAGAGCAATTAGGTTTCTAACCTCTTTCGGGACATAGTGTTAGGCTCTAGCCTGAAGGGAAAGGCAGTAGAGTGGGGATCTGGGTCTCAGCCCAGCCATTCCCCAAAGCTGCAGATTTCTGTCATTCTTGGCTTCAGACTAGATCCTGCCTGCATTTCCAGGCCTCCACATTAAATTAGTCTCATCCCAGAGTTGCACTTGATTCACAGCTGCCATGCCCACACTCAGCCCAAGGCTCCCCTCTCTTCCCCTCCTCATTTCAACCCCACTTCGAACCCTTAGGCCCAATTCAAACCCATTTTCTTGTTTCTGAGTTCCCATGAGTCAGTGCCTGTTAGCATATCCAACCATCCACATGTTCAGTCCCACTGCCCCTCCAGCGCTTACCCACAGTCCTGCAGCCAGTCTTCAATCTTGGTGATTGGATTCCCTAGGAAAGTCAGACATCAGATCAGTGTGGGAGCTGAAGAAAGTCAGACTCCTTCCCTGCAACTCACCCCATTTTCAAGTTTGTCCTTATATAAGTCTCGTCACAAATCCTTCCCTCCCCCCATAAGACTTTTCCTTAAGATATAAGAGGAGTATACCCATGTATACAAATAGTGGATATTTCTTCTCTCTTTTCCCTCTGTCCCTTTCTTCCAAGGCACCTGGAAAATGCCTAGGATGTTAAGCCCACTGCTCTCTTTCCCCCATGCTTTGGGAAAAGGTGTGGGTCCTTCCCCTAAAAGAAAAAAAAAAGGAACAAACCCAAAATAAAACCAGAAAAGCACAGTATTGCATTTGTGATTTTTGTTTACTATTAAATAAGCAAAACTGGGTTTATTTATAAAAGATTCCCACCTCCTACCCCATGGCTAAAGTCACATTTGAACCTCAAAGAAGTTCTGAGAGGCATACAGAAAAAGTACTACTATTACACAATTTAAATGAGACAACTATGTCTTAGAGCTGAGTGACTTGCCAAAGGATACACAGCTTGTCAGTGACAGAGATGCAGCCAGAGTCCAGGCATTTGGGCTGTGATTGTGTTACACAGACAAAATTGAAACATCCCAAAGCACTCACAGAGCACTCTGACCCCATGCCCTACAGACAACTTCTCAGGATGACACACAAATATGCCTTTTTCTGTTTCCCAATCTTATGCCTGTCTTTTTCTCACGTAATTCACATTTTGTATTACTTTATCCTTCTTCCCTTAAACTCATTTAAACCAGTCAAAATGAGCCTCCTTGAGGGCCTCGCCTAGACAAGGGACCTACCTACTGCCCATACAATGCAGGCCTGTGCCTGCCGCCCCATTCCCCTACCGAAGACGACGTGGAAGTCTGTTTGGTGTCTAACTGCCTCTTACCTTCCTGGAAAACATCATCCAGGTTGGCTGGCTCAGGATCTGGGACATCCTGCAGGGCAGCTGCAGCCTCCTCTTCCAGGACCTGGGTCTGCCAGTGCCGGCTCTGACGGATCCAGGCCCGTCGCTTCTCCCAGGATGTGGGGCTTAGCACAGAGCCCTCCATGGCCCTGGTTCAGTCTTCAAGGTCTCCTGCGACAGTGCTGCTGCCCTGAGGATTGAAGCACAGTGGTACTCCCTCATCCTCTACTTGGACACTCGTGGGGTGCCCCGGACTCCCTGTCTTCCTGGATCCCCACAAAGGAGCGTGACTCCTGTACCGATTTTTGGAGGCGCAGGGAAGAAAGACATGTTTAGCTCTTCCTCCATCTTCAAGAAAAAAGAGTGCTCTGAAAAATCCAAACACCAGGGCTTTCAAATCAGTAAGTCTGGAAACTTCAAACATCACATGCTTTAAGGAGCTCAATTCAAAGAGTTCTTCCTACTTAAAGAGGAGCTACTTTCTGTGATTACACAGAAGTGGTGTGTTAGAAAACATTTTTCTTTAATCCTTTCGGATTTTGTCTCAGAATCTTCCACTAACATCAAAATATTTATGAATTTGCAATTTATAAACTCCACTTTGTTTGATTCTCATAAAGGCATATGAAGAAGTCTCAGATCTCAAAAGTTGAACAACTTTTCTAAGGTCCACAACCAGGAATTCATTTTAACTATAGTCATTCTGAGTTTGCCTTGTTTAATTTCCTCTTTTGTATATTAGGGGTTCACATAGGATTTCTTTTGGGGTGGGGGAATCTCACAATAAAAACAACAAGGAGATGTTGCCTTAACCAATTGCAGCCACCACCTCAAGGATCACCATTTTCCACACTGTGTCCATGGCTTTCTCCATAGCTATGAGTTCATTCCCTGGCTCATCCATTTGTTTGTATTTCTTTTAGCACTGCCTAATCAACACCATTGTATTCTTCCAAGAGGTTCATCCTGAAGGCACTAGCCATTTATTCAAAGAGGAAGAAAGAGGAGAGGAATCATTTAATTGTCCAAAAAGAGCTTTAAAGACTCAAGGCTAGTGAACGCTTATTGGTTTATGCTCTGTTCTCCTGCCTCTTCCTCACTTGCTGCACTCATAGCAATGAGTTAGTGGAGGTGGGACCATTGCTCTCTACTGCCTTGTCTCTCTATTCCCTGGAGCTACCACACCAGCCCCTCATCTTAGCTATACTTCTGTTGGAGTAAAGGGAAAGAAAAATAAGGAGAGTGCCAATTTCCAGAGACTTCTGTTCTTCAAGCCTTTAAAAACAAAATCATTTGTGAGGCATTCAACAATTTAGGCAATAAAATAGCTATTTTTGAAGAGAACAAATTGAACATAAAACACATTCCTAGGGCAATAAAATTGTTTTGAATGCCTCTGCTTGCTACAGGAAAATGTATCAAGAGGAAAATAATACATGATTACTGTGGTCCGATCTAAATTCTTCTACTTCAGGTCTAACCTAAGAATATTTTTCTCTAAGGAGCGACAACAGTTGGAGCAATGAAATTTTGTTAACCTGGCCTTTTGTCCACTGCCTGTGCCTTTAAGGGGAAATTAAATGGTTGAATTAAGCTTGTGACATAGGGAAGCCACAAAAAAGGGGTAGCAGAGATAATTAGTCCTTTGGTCAGAGTTGTTGTGAGGTGATAAAAAGAGGATAACATTGTAACTAGAAAGATTTTAGGAAAAGAATCTAAAAAACCTTGATCAGTTCCAACAAAGCTGTAGCAAAGGGTAGAATCCCCTTTCTCTCTGCTGCATTTACATTGTGTAAATGTACCATTGTTTTCTGATCCAATCATTTGCTGATGGGCACTTAGGAGGGGGGAGGGCAGTTGGGAGAAGGGTTTTCAGGAACTACTATAAAGGACACATGGACAAAACCAAGTGGGAGGTTGGAAGCAGGGGAGGGAGGTGGGTTTTGCTGGGGTGGTGGGGGAGGGGTGGGAAGAAAATGCAGACAACTGTAGTTGAACAATAATAAAGTAATTTTTAAAAAAGCCTTCATCAGAATTTATTTACCTTATCAGTTCTGTGCCTCCAAACTATTTACTAGGTTGGTGTCAGTAAGCCCAGAAAAGAAAATGTCAGACATTGACTTGCCTATTGTCTTTAATTCCCAGAGCAAATGGACTTCCACCTAAATCTTGTGAACTGTTCTTTTAATAAGAAGAATGTTTTTGGTGATTAGGAAAATTTAAAAGGAAGGCAGAAAGACAGCAGGGCAGGAAGAGAGAATGAAAAAAAGAAAGAAAGAAAGAAAGAAAGAAAGAAAGAAAGAAAGAAAGAAAGAAAGAAAGAAAGAAAGAAAGAAAGAAAGAAAAAGAAAGAAAGAGGAAGAAAAAAGAGAAGGAAAGAAAGAAAAGAAAAAGAAAGAGGGGGGAGGGAGGGAGGAATATTTGACTTTCACTCTTAATTCAGTCACTTGCTAGTGATATAGGTTGGAAAATTCAATCCCTCTTTCTAGTCTCATTTTCTCAATAAGGACACTCTAGCTTAGCATAGTGCCAGAGTTTCACTTACTGAGATGGTAAATGAAAGCCTCTACTTGAGTTTCAACATACTCTGTGATATGAATCTATTCTATATTCTTCCCACACATTTGAAACTACATCACACTCATATACGCTAATTTTTCCTCTGCCCCCTGAAAATGCTTATCTTTTTATTAATCCTAGGTTGTTCTTATGTTCTTCACTCATTTCTCCTTTTGTCTCTCAACCTTTGCACACTTAACTTGCAAAACTCAGCATGTACCAATATCCCCCATGAAGCCCGGCCTGACTTCTACAGCCTACAATAGTTCCTTTTCACTGAGTCTATATCTTGCTTAATTTTCTTCTTCATTGTTACCACTAAAATATTTTACATTTATTTATTAATCTAGTTTACTGTTTCCTCTTCTGATTAGAATATGAGCTCCATGAGGACAGAGATTTTTATCTGGGTTGTTCAGTGTTGTGTTCCTAATGTCTAATACAGAACTTAACTTGTCACAGTTGCTTAATAAATGCTTATTCTCTAAATCAATGAATAATTAGTAAGTGACTATTCCCCAAAGGAGGTCAGTGTTTTACAGTCATCATAGACACATGTAGGGAGATTGGCTGCAAAACTGTGACAATAAGCTTATAATTATATGTTTGCTAAGCATGGAAAAACATTTTGGGCTAGATGTTGGAGAAAGATGAATTTGAGGGTTATTCTATGACTTGTTTACAATCTTGGAGTTCCTATCATTGTAAGCAGGAGCTGTATTTTTTCTTAACTATTTCTATTTGTTGTTCTGCCCTATGAGGAAAAGTTTTACTTAATGTAAATACTTAAAGAAAAAAATTCATATGGAAAGAGATCCTCAATACTTAATAGTTCTAAAGAAAACCTTAGAAATACATGATTATTATAGTTATGACAACAAGAAGACTGGACAAGTTAAGGACTCTATTGTCTATTGAGAATAACTGTCATTTTCTAAGCAATTTGGGTGAAAATTGAATAATTTCTTTTCTTGAAAAAGTAACAATGGTCTCAATTCTGAAATAAAAGATGCAAGAGATATCTAAGCTAATCTTTTCAACTGTGGCAAACTGGACATGGGACCAGGGAATTGAATAAGCTAATTTTCCTCAATTTCTGTTACACTTGGGTTATAGAGACCTATTCATGGGGTATTATAAGTACAATGATAGTATGAGGCAAGGAGAGATAGAATTGACTAGTTAATGGTAACAGGGGGAAGCTGTGCTACTGGGAGATAAGAAAGTGGGTATTCTTTGTGGAAATCTAGAGGAAATGGCAAATGATTATCAGGCAAGCACATCAGCAGTGAGAGTGTTAGAAAGAATTGAAGGATGGGGGGGGTGCACACAGCTGTCCAGATGGCACTTTTGAAGGCTGTGGGGCCCCCTGTAATAGAGAGAAGGGTGTGGAGATATTTTTCCCCAAGCAAGCCATACAAAACATACATCAATCTGCACAGTGGGATTTGGTGCAGTGAAAAGAGCACTGACTGGAAATCAGGAAAGTTGGGCATCCTTCCAACCTTTGTGTTCAATTAATTGACTTCTGGCACATCATTTAGATTTTCTTTTTCTTTCTTTTTTTTTCAAAGCTCATTTTAATTACAGTATAGTTGACACAATACTATATTAGTTTCAGGTATTTAACAGTAATTTGACATTTATATACCTTAAAAGTGATCACCAGTATCCATCTGTCACCATCACCAAGTTATTGTGATGTTGACAGTATTTCCTCTGTTGTGCTTTACATCCCCATGACTTATTTATGTTATCACCATACATTTTTACCTCTTAGCCCCCTTTACCTTTTTGCCCAACCTCTACCCACTGGCAACTATCAGTTTTTCTGTATCTGTTATTCTGTTTGTTTTGTTTGTTCATTTTAGTTTTTTTTATTTCATATACAAGTGAAATGACATTTCACATAACATAATATCCTCTAGGTCTATCCATGTTGTTGCAATGGCATGATTTCATTCTTTTTCATGGCTGGGTAATATTCTTGCACACACACACACACATCCAATTATTTTTTGTATGTCCATCTATTGATGAATCCCCAGGCTGCTTCCATATCATGGCTGTTGTAAATAACGCTGCAGTGAACACAGGGGTGCATATATCTTTTCAAATTAGTGTTTCACTTTTCTTCAGATAAGCATTCAGAAATGAAATTGCTGGGTCCTTCTTTGTGTTTTGATATAGTCTTTGTTTTAAAGTTATTTTATCTGATATAAATATTATTATTCTGGCTTTTTTTTCATTTCCATTTTCATAAAATATCTTTTTCCATGCCTCTCCTTTCAGTCTCTGTGTGCCTCCTGACACAAAGTGAGTGTCATATAGGCAGCATACTCAAGGGTCTTGTTTTTTATCTGCCCAGTCACCCTATGGCTTCTGAATGGAGAGCTTAGTCCATTTACATTTAATTACTGATAGGTATGTGCTTATTGCAACTTTAATTGTTTTCATACTAGACTTATAAGTGGTTGGTCTTCTACCTTCTACTAGTAAAGGTTTGCTTTTACTAGAGTGGTTACTTTTTTCCATATATTTTCTTATTTATAGTTTTGGCCTTTTCCACTTAAAGAATTCCCTTTAACATTTCTTGTAATGCTGGTTTAATGATGTTAAACTCCTTTAGCT